TATATATATTATTTAATACTATTTTCTTATTTACTCGATACAAAATTTATACTCAAACTTACTACTATTTTCTTTTCAATCCTCACAACATAAATAAATAACATATTTTTACTGTTTGATTATCATTAACACTCAAAAGTCGAAACAAAACTTCATTCAAATATCTAAATCTTTCTCTTATATGCATTTCTCATACAAGTAAAACCCCAGATAAACCCACGTCTAAGAAACATGATACCAACTTCTACCACCTATAAATATTTAAACGTAAAAAAAAAACTATCTATAAAAGAAAACTATTACACAAATATTCTAATTCCTTAGAGAAAAAAAAAAGATTGTGCATAATTTTGGAAAAGATCAAAGTTTCTAAAAATAGTAAAGTTCCAAAAGAAAAAGCCAATTTGATTGCTACAACGAAAAATAAGCGACAACTATTCTAAAGTTGTTCGCTTGCTCCTACAAGCATTTCGTCAGCATGTATTCTCTTAAAACTTTTTTTACCAGTTCATTTTATTAACTGAAGAACAAAATTACATAAAAATAATTTCTTATAAGAGTTAAATTTTTTATTTCTTTGAGATATCTTCAATCAATATAATAATAATAATATTAATAATTATTATTATTATTCAGATAATTGATTTTATCTGAAAAAGCAATATTGTTTGTCGGATTTGTAGTGTTAGCGTCTGGAGATTGAAACTACACGTGGAGAAATATATGGAGAGAGGTAAGAAAACTATCTGTTGCGTTGGGAGGGGTCTTCTCGATGACAGGCCTGACAGGAAAGTCAAAATGGAATAACAAACGAATTTGTTCCTTCATCAAGCCACGCGACTACCATCTCTACAAATCAACTCTTTTTCATCTTTCCGCATTTTTACTCTGCTTTCTCTCTCACTGCCAAAAAATTGACCCAATTCCGCAAAGGGATAAGCTCGGTTCCAGAGTGATATAAATTGCTCCGGATTGGGTTTTCTGTGAGAAAAAAACAAATGATATTGATGGGTGTGTTCCCTTTTGAGCAAAGTTAGTGACTTGCAGAGGCGGTGGCAGGGAATCGAAGGATGAGCGCAGAGGACGATGACTCAGAGGGAAAAAGATTGAAACTTCGGCAAGATGAGGTGTTCAATTGTGGTGTGAAGAATTTCCAGCGCGATCTGGTGGCTGGGGCGTTGATGGGCGGTGTGGTGCACACGATTGTTGCCCCAATTGAGAGGTCGAAGCTGTTGCTACAGACTCAGGAGAGCAATTTGGCCATTGTGGCGAGTGGGCGTCGCAGATTCAAGGGCATGTTTGATTGCATAGCCCGTACGGTCAGGGAAGAAGGCATTCTCTCTTTGTGGCGAGGTAATGGCAGCAGTGTTATTCGTTACTATCCTTCTGTGGCCCTCAATTTCTCTCTCAAGGTTAGGCTTCCTCTTCATTTCCATTTTCTAACTGTTTTCTTTTTGTTTTTCCTCTCTCGTTATGCA